ACATAGATAAACCCTGTAGGGCTTTGGCAAGTGCTGTCTTTTGACCGAGTTGCAACAAGTACACGTATGGTATGCCAGTCCTGGTGGAGACCGAATGTTCTAAATAGAAACGGGTGAACGGCGTTGTGCACTTGGTTGGGCACCGACTTGCCAACTGTATCGGAGATACGCACTGCGGTTGCATGTTAGTGGAAAATTGAAGACAAACGACTACCAAAGCAAGATAAGGAAGGGCCCAGAATAGAAGTTTGAAACATAGGATAAAAGTGAAGTCGGTGGGCGAAGCTAAGCATGAAACAGCTCAAGAAGGGGAGTATGAAGACCAGAAGGCTTGGGCAGTAGAATCCTCACCCTTATTCACCCTGCTCGATGCAGCAGATTTGGCTCTATTGGTTATCATCTGAAACGGCCATAGTATCAAGGAAATGCTTGAAGAAAAATTCGTTAAATCGTTTGGGCAAGATACTGTCCGGTTGCCCAGTCCTAGATAGCAGAACAATTAGGGCTCTCAACCAAGATCCAGTATGGTCGCGTTGTGTTTGATGTTCCAAAATCATCCGTGTCTTCTGCATATTGGAAATACTTGTAACGTGCAGAAAAGTCGTACTACATAACAAAATACTCCTCACTAACGCCAGACGTTGCAGTTACTCTAAGACCCTTGGTCTAAACTACTATCTATTAGAATAAACTGGAGATGTGACTACCTCACTGAGCGCAGATTTGAGTATTGTTGCAGGGAATCTGGAGTTACCCATGGTAGTCCAAGTCATTTCCCAATGAAGGGTGATTTCTGCTAGTTTGCAGCCATAACGGCGACCTGTTGAAAACAACCCAATTCGTCATGATAATAAAGGATGTATTCGGTGTATGCCAGAGCTAGTTTACAACACCATACGATGATCAAGGCTTTAATAAGAAAAACTGATTCTAGGTGGCAACCATTACTGATCCTTTTTGGAAAGGCAACTTACAGTAGCAGTTAAGCATGACTAATTGACATTTTACATATCGGTCACTTTGCACCGCCTCGCAATCGGATCTTAGAACACGAGTCTCACAGAGTGCATTATGATTTTGAGATGACGAGGTGGAGGCGAGTTAGGAAGTGGCGAACCAACATCTCGATATTATACCAGCCCGGATATAAAACTCAGGCCCCCCACGTCTTACCTTTTTGACTCGCCGTTCTGCTGTGCCCCTCCATTCAAAAGCATCCTTCATCCGCTAGGATCCACGATCTTCCTGATTTCCGTGTCCCCCCCCCCACAAACCATTCACTGATAGTGCACCCAAATAAGAACTTTTGTAGCTGACAAGCCCAACGAACAAAAAAGACACACATAGCTAGTACAGATGTGCCGTGGTTCTCTGCCTTAGCTGGATTAATACCAGACTCTCTATGAGTTTTGGCCTCTATCCTCCAGATGTTGAGCCCCGGTTGAAACTCTAAGCCGAGGTCAGCTAATGGTGGATACCGATGTTTTCGGAACACGCGCGCAAAGGAGTTCCTTTGGGTTTAGACTGTTATTGTGAATTCCCATCCGTGCACATTCTTTTGGCCTATTATGTATAACAGCAGTTATAAAACAAGAGTCTTCATGATGATGGCCTATTGCTTAGAACATAAGGCAAAAAACCAAGTCAACATAATGACAGCTCATTTACCATTATTATACATTGGTACATGGCTAGACGAGGCGTGGAAGTGCGGATGAAACCTTTCCAGTGACTACTCACCATGGAAGCAGGTCCAGAGGATATGGTTCCATAGATGGTCCTATTACTTTACTTTAACTGCTTGCTATACTTACGTTGATTCCCACGCTCTACTTTCTGCAATTTTATAAATGTAAATAATTTAATAGCGCCAAACTTCTCTGAGCCGTAAAGTATGAAAGTTAAAAAATTTCTCCGCCATCCTGGTATGTTGTACATAGTGATCAGACAAAATATTTGATCCTTGCCTCCTAGCGTCGAAAAAGTTACTATTTAATTATTTACGATGAATTTCATCTGTGTAGCTGAACGTATTTACCGAAATGGATTCACAATCTTGTAGTATGCTCACATTTTGTCTACATAACAAAAACAAACCGAGATGTTGCAATGTAAGGGGTACCGACCGCAAATTGTGGATTTCCTCTCAGGTGCTTTGTGATAGGGTGGTAGAAACTGTTATGAAATGTGAATTAGCACTATGGTTCCCGTAGTGCTAAGTGCATTCGCTGTGTTGTGCGTGCTCTTTCGTCTAAATGAGTTACCGCTTTTAATAAGCTGATTGCATACAACCTGAGAACTAACGGAAGCCACATGAACATTGACACCAAGTCCGAGTTTGTTGTTGCTTAAATGAGTAGGTAAAGTGCTTTTGGTAAACAGTTGCGAGATCGTAATACCATGATGTACGACCGAGAGAAGCGCAGTGCTAATCGAGTAATTTAGATGGTTGGTAACAAAGTAAAACCAAGGGCCATTGGATGGTATATATATATATATATATATATATATGTACATATATATATTCGGGTCGAGTTAGTCGATGGCAGGCGGTCAGTTTCTATGGCTGTCCCCACACAAACGGTAGGAAGTCTACTTTAGGCCCAGGAGTCGATCCCCTGAAGTGACCTATACAGTGAAGACACAGGCAGAATAACAAACAGTCGCACAGAAAAGCTTGATGGTGTGCTGCCAAATTTGGGTGATGTATGTCATACAAGTGCCTTCTTATAGTGAGGGATTGTGCAGCGATCTCTTCGGCCTTATGCCGAATACTTTGGAGCAAGATTATGGTTAAACAACGACATTTTATTTGTAAACAGCTTTTTATTCGGTAAACGGAATGAACTTAACTAAGGCGCTCGACTCGCCTTGATTCAACGTACTTTGCGAGACAGGAAACAATGTTGCCTAGAGAAGGTTGACAACGATGTGCGCAAGAAACCCCAAGCTTGCTTGTGTACTTGAAATTGTCTCTAGTGTAGCTTCCTGTTGCTAGGAGCCGACTGCTTTTAGTTCCTTATCCAGTAGTTGATTGTGACTAATGCTGAGATTTATGTTGCATACATTATGCTTCTTCACTCCAGTTGAGCTACACAGAGGTACACACGAATTAGAACTTCAAAACCTGGAGGAAAACTACTGTGTCCTATTCTGCTGTATATTTCGTGTCAGTTTTGCGAGTTTGCATTCTTTCAAATTCAGTGTTAGTTGCTTGCTATCCCCGGTGTAGCTGCGCTTGTGGTGAATGTTGACAAAGTGCCTACCTGACGAAAAACCACTACCTCGATTATGCTAGCTCCAGGAGACTGTGAGTCGTTTCTGGGGGAAAGGCGTCCACGTGACAGTGCTAAGCTCAAACAGGGGGTCCCATGCATCCAGTGTGGAGCGGACTACGACCCAACCACCAGCGTTGTATGTCTAGTACGCATGTTTCGAACTAAGATAGACAGGAATGCTGCTGATGTGCATGTTGTAAGAATGTGGACCGAGTACTTTGATGAAACGTAGCTCACATCCACACGCCTCCCGGTCTTATTCCTTCGGGTTAACACTGGATATGAGGTGTTTAGATGGAGGTATGTGTGGGGCAGCGCAAGCTACTGTATACACAGGCGTCCTGTGGCTATTCCTGTAGAGGCCGCAGTGACAAGCAAATCCGTGATCGGATGCTGCCAACCATGTAATGTTTGATGTCGACATGGGGGTACAATTAGTTGGTTTACAGAATGAATTCGATGCACCCATACCAGTAGTGTCATTCCACATGAAAGATTTAACAGCGTCCTTATTGTCTCCAAAACCATTTCAGGTTCCTCTAGGAAAGTGAAAGTGTTCGTTTTTAAACTGGCAAATACTGAAACACGATAGAACATTAAATGCAAACAATGTGTCAGAGATTTCCGTTAAAAATGTGCACAGACTTATAGTTCACATTTAAAAAGTTAATTGAACCTTGTCAAATAGAAAAGCGATTTATCAATGATCTTGTTTTCTTTCATGTGTATTTATCAAAGGTTCCGATAGCTAGTTAAAATAAGGGTCGGAATACTTCCATGTAACTTGTCACGGCTCCTGAGTTTGCCAACGATAGACCTAAGGCTAACTATGATGTGTGCTGAGGATTATAAGTCAGTAACTATACGAGGAATGAGACTGCACTCTGCTTGTTCTCTTTTCACAAGTATCCAAAGCAGTTACTTCCTTTTAGCAAGTACGGTTTGAAAAGTACGGCTGGTAGCCACACGCAATATTTACGTACGCATTCCCAAACCTGGCCTTATACCGCCCGGCTGTCAAACTTGGCTGAAAAATAATTTGGAGATCATTAAGATTAGTTTAATTCAGGTGCTCCATGAACAGCGAATGCGCTTGTAAACGAAACCGGTCGTTAGAATATTAACAGAGAATTTGAAATTTCGTATACTGCAGGATTCCAGCGTTAATTAATTCCACCACAGACAATTGTACGCCACCAATTAAACTTGCGTTGTACTACATTCAGGCTACTTGTTAATAACATAGATTTACACAACTTTAGTTGAGTAGTGAAACCGTAGCATCTGGCCCAGCCTACCCAGTTAGATGCCACTAGAAGTGAAGTGCCAGATAAATAGTGAATTGGTAACTGCTCTTCAGATGTGCCTACCACCTATTATGTGGATAAGCTAGTCGATGATCTGGTCATCATACCTAATTTGTTCCGAAGTACCTTAGCTGCTGATGTGACGAAGAATGTAAGTGAGCTCTGATGTAGTCCACTCGAAAGTACCGGACAGGATAACTCTCCGACACAGGTTTTGTGCTAGATTTCGAATCTATGTGGGTTAGTTAAGATAAATACCTTAAAATTACAACTAACAGCCTGCTACTCATGAGTAATTTAACAAATGCAGTAAGAACAGCAATACTGCGTGGCATTCATTACCATCACTGTAAGTTGGTGGGTGCATGAGTTTATACGTCGTAAGTGGATGAAACCTAATTGTCATGATACTTACATGTTTTTCGATTGTAACTCAGCTATTAGCTGCTTTTGTGTTTGTGGCGAATCGGCGACGTTCCCCATTTTCTGGAAAAAGTCAACAGTTATTTGTTAGGAGGGTGATTCGTTATACTTCTGAACTAATCTATGGAGTTCGAAGTTAGTTTCCATTTGTGTGCTGTCAGCTGATTCTACATCTGGAATTACACGAAATATATTATTGAATACATCATCATCATCATTATACACGTTAGCTAGAGGTGGGAAATACCTAAGCTATTGTGCCGCAATACATAGAAGGAAAAAGGATAGAAAATATGCAACTGGTGCAAGCCGGCTGAGCTACCGGTAACGGATGGGCATCGTCCCGATAAGCTACCAGCCGACTACTGTGCATAAAAAAATTACTATGCATAATTATATAAGGCTAAATAGTGAGATCGTAGTTGGAGGGGAGGCTAAGAGGGATGGGGTGGGACAAAGAAACTCATTATTGAATACACTTATTAACAAATGCCTACGACATCCAACCGCATGCATCCCAACATGCGGTATCGGTTATCTCTACATTTTGCCAGATAGGACGGCTTTGTGACAAAAGCTATGAACAAATTTTGAAGCTACTATATCAAGACAATAACTAGTATTGTTTCAGCGAGTCTTTCAAGAGGGAACAATGATATTTCCAAGAGTCATCAGTGACTGTACCTACCTCAAACTGGGTACTGAATGCATTGGCAGCAGCCAGTTGAGCGCTGTATTTGGCAATAAGTTGATGCTCCTCGCGACATTGCGAATCCACATTTCGGCTGAATTTTCCATAATTGATGAGCATCTCTGGTTGAACGGCATGAAGAGATGACACCACAGGGGTAGACGCCTGGTGTGTCATGATCCTTTGGCTACTCGGATCCGATAATTGTGCATGCGTATGGTCGTATTCACATGTGGCAAACCCAGGTGCGCTACAAGGTTTAACAAACCATGATTATACAACCGAAACGAGTACTTTTCTCAATGTTTTCCAAAGACAGTTTACATTTACCTAGAAGTAACTAAAACGCCAACAACAGGACTGTTCTCCAAACCGAACAGCGGCTTATACTCCAAGTGGTGTCCAGGTAATGGCCTTCATCTGTTCACCTTACTAAGAAAAGTGTTTTAAGATGCATTCTTAAGAAAATGGTGTCCTATTTCCTATCGTGATTCCAAAATTTCAGATTGCGAGGATACTAGTTAAAACGTATGGGCGTATGGTACTTGTCCAGCAGTTGGTACTGGAAAACAAATCAAAATTTCAGCCACAAATCAAAGTCACCGTCATCGGTTAGGATGGAAATCTGCTTCAATACAAGTTGTAAATTACCTCATGGCGGAAGAGTTAAAGGTCAGTTCGACATTTTGTCCACTCCCAAAGGTGATCGGGGCACCTGGAGGTGGGCAAATCGAAGGATTGATTGTAAATTGAAGATTGTTTTGTGCTTCTTGCACCGACATAGGAGCTAAATCAAAGAGAGGTGTAGTCGAAAATGGTATTTAGCTGGGTCTGAAAAATCAATAATTGCTGACATAAATAGTCGTAAATGGAAACAAAGTATCGGTTGACTAAGGACTTAACTACGATATTCAGGATATTAGGAGATTAGATTTAAAGCTATCCACTCCGATTACTGGAGCATATCCCTTAGCGCCAGTTAGTATACACACTACCTGGATGCTTACGGCGGCATAAGTTGTGCACAGATCCCCGGCTTAGCTAGTCTACCATATGTAAACCTGATATAACTTCATTACTAAAAGATATGCTTTGCCTACTCTTCGCGGATTGCACTCGGATTCTTCTTCGGTTACTTTGTCTATGCTTAGTGATCTGTTCCCAGGGCGTGAGATCCATACAATGGGAACAGTTCGGCGATTAAAAATAAGTTAATGGTATATTGTAGCGACACCACCCACATAGTCATGATCATGGCTAAGCTGCGGGAACTATAGGGAAATGCACAGAAACGTTAAACGTTTATTGGTTACACTGAATCTATGTTGCATGCGGATATTCATACATGAAGCTAACTGTGTATGTAGCAGTGTTGATTGGATTTCTGGATGTGCTGCGTTTGTGGAAAGGGATCAAAAATATACTAATCTTCGTTGCGTTATGTAGATGAGACAGGAAAAGTCTATCGTGACTAATAATGAAAGTGAGAAAATATTAGCAGAAAGAAGTTTGATCCAACGTGTTTCGCATGGGTCATTTGCCTTTTTAATGGTCGTTATTTTTCGCTTCCTAGTATACACGCGCCAGTAGAACAGACCTGTTCACTTAAACAACGCATACGATGCTTCTTATCCTTTCGCGGTAGATAAGATGTGTAATGATGTTAGAAGGTAATACTTCGACAATTACTGCAATGTAGCGTTAGGTCCGGGTGAACTACATAGTCTGGAAATATATGTAGTTTCTCGTTGTACTTTTAGTGGCAATATTGACGTGGCATTTCATACTGATTAAACTAAGACGAACATGATAACTAGCACTCGGACGAACGTCTGGGTGGAAATGTACTTATACACACAGCAGTCGCGGTTTCCTATGAGGAAAAAAGGCGTTTTCCGACAGAAAAACCTATCTCTGGAATGTTGCATCGACATCTGCCTTGGAGAGATAACGATTACCCAGCACATTCAACAGTTCATAATAGAGACAGCGACAGATCTCTGTGCAAAAGCCCAGGGCTGCGAATGTTTTTGCAGACAATGGATAGGCGGGTAACCAGTTGTTAATTTTACGGTCGTGTTCATCAAAACGACAAGAGGTTTGCCTGACATGAGGCAGCACTTGTGTAAGTGTTATAAGAAGAACCATTTTGCATGTTGCTACTGAACTGTCAAGATCCAGTCGGTGGATAGTGACATTGGGTAAGAAATATCAGTCATTAACATGGAACAAGGTCGATGACAAGTTTGTATGTTCACGGCACTACTCGTTCAAGGTCAGTCGATGAGTTTTCAGCTGGATTCTAGACCTGATCCTAGTGTTGACACACTGCCCCAGGAGTACTGTCCTGGAGCAGAATGTCACAAAACATTGACCTGCATCACAAGGCGGAATGGCTCAAAGTTAAAACGGAACGAATGAGTCGCTGTGGAGGTCATCAATCCGAAAAATAAGTCAGAACCGTTGCGCAGCTTTTTCGTGATGTCAGCAGGCTTTACGCTCATCCTATGCATTGCTTTCATTTGGCGTTCGAGTTTTCTCTTTTTCCACTTTGACGATTCTGTTCATTCGTGGGAAGGTGGCACAGACGTAGGCGATCAGTATTCTGGCTTACTTCGTAATGCTGTGAAGATGTTCCAATTGCGTGCTAATTCGCCATTGAACGAGGTTGCACGATCAGTAGCACTGCAAGCTATTAAAGTGCCCGATGCTTTGCGTCAGAAGACACCAGACGAATTGCAGCGCTTGATCAGTTTAGGCGTTATATACCAGATTAGTGAACCGACGGATTGTGTTAGACAGCTTACGATTGTCAATAAGAAGTCAAGTGACTTTCAGGCTCAGCAAATAATATTGCACGCTACTGATACTAGATGGTGTTCTACCAGTCGTATCCAAGGCGAACGTGTTTAGGAAATTTAACACTGCGTCCGCTTTTTGGCACGTTTCACTTGATTAAGAGTCCAACTACCTGATGATATTTGAAAAGTCTTTAGACCTTACTGATGGCTGCGCTTATCATTTGGCTCGAAATTGTCCAGCGAGATTTTTCAGAAATGTTTGGTGCAAACCGCAAGTGATATCCCCGGAGCACTATATGTAGCAATGTACTAGAAGAAGAGCATGGATGTAACCAACCCAGATTAGTAAGGCGCTGCGCACAGAGGACATTAAAATGAAACGTGGGAAGATTGAATTGCACAAAACACGGGCACCTATATAAAGTTTGGAAGGCGTGTGGTCAGAGCCGAAGAAAATCAGATCTACACACGAGATGCCACCTCCGACTTGAGGGAAAGTTCTCAGCAGACTGGACGAGATGATGAACTACCTGAGCCACTTTTTACCCCGACTAGTTGACATGATGATTCTTATCTAAAAACTGACTTACAAGGTCAGATTAAGAGAAGGTCTTTCAATAGGTTAAACAGTTGACTTCGGGCGCTCCAACTTGGTTAACTATGTTGCATCGCTTCCGCCTGCAATCCAGTGTGCCAGAAGTCAGTTCGGCGTCGGTGCCGTGCTAAGGTAGGACGGGAAGCTTTCCGATTTCCGTAGCCGAACGCAAGCAGGGGTTGAACCTCGTTATGCTCAGCACGAAGAAGAAACGCTTGCGCTGCGTCATGCCGTGAAGCCGGACTGTCGCATTCACAGCTGACAAAACATTGCTGTCCAGAGCCAATAAACCACCTCACGTCGTCCGACATCACTCACAGCTTATGTCATAAATTATGACCCGGAACTAGGGTACCAAACAAGACCAAATATACACATTGCCGACATACCCTCAAGGGTTTGTCTTCCGGAAGTGCTAGGAATGCAGGAAGACCCTGACTTTCTCCGTAAAACACAAATGCTTGCTATCACTGAGAAGGGTTTCAAGCAACTAATACCTTGGAAGAAGGAAGACAACCTGTGTGAATTGCCCAAGGAAACGATACTAAATGGTTGATCCCAAGACAAAGTTAAGCTGCTGAATGAGTTAACTCGGTTTTTCCACTTTCACGATGAACTCGGCACTCTAGACGGATTAATATTAAAAGGTAACCGTATACTCGTTCTGAAGGCAATGCAACGTTCCACGCTGGACCTCACACACTGTACCCACTTGGAACGCAATAACCGTTTAGTGCGAGCTCCAGAGCTAATGTTTGGGCTCCGGATAAAACTGGTGTATTACAGATGATGTCCCCAAATACTTAGCATGCTAACATATTGGGACTTGTGTTGCTTCAAGAAGTCCCGGAGAACACTTGACAGAAGGTCACGTTGGACATTTTTACTAATGTGAATAATTACTTGTTTGTGATTGGTTATTTCAGGGACTACCTTAAGATTGGTGTCTTTACTGCGACCAGCGTGCAAGCCGTCGTGAACAAGCTACGCTGCCAGTTTGCTCGATATGGGACACCGGAGATGTTTACGGACAACGGTCCCCAATTTAAAGGCGCAGAATTTCACAGTTTCATAAAAACTGGGGATTCTTTTGCATTGACTCACTAGTTCGTATCATGGCCAATCAAACGGAAACGCTGAGTCAGCAGTCGAGGAAACAAAGGAGACCCACCAGTATCCCAGCGTCATGTCGCTTTTAAGGCGAAACACCCCGTCCTCTAAAACTACGAGAAGTCCAGCTCAAGGTTTGTTCAGCCTTAGAACAAGACGCAGCAACTGACAGCTTGGTAATCACTGCAGTCAAAAATGGCCTCGAATGTTCTTCTTTAAAACTGTCTACGTAAAAGTGCTGCCAAAAGGTATATGATCGTAGATCAAGACAGCTCCCACCTATATTACTGGGGGACAAAGTATGGGTTGAACTGCTCAATGAAACTGACGGACGTTAAAGGACGGTATTAAATGAAGCGCGCAAAGGGAAGAGAAGCTATGAAGTAGATTTCTGGAATAATGTAGTTTGGCGGTATCGAGTACAGCTGAGGAGGCGAATGCGGTGAACTGACTCAGTAACGTGAAGAGCAACAGCAGTGGAACAAGCCAGTTGACACCGAAACCCAAGACCGCAAGATCACTTGAGGTGGAAGACAATACGGAAAATATAAAAATGAAGTACGCAAAAAGGAATAGAGGAAGGATGTGGCTTTAGATGACAATTTTAAGCGAAAACAGACCGACGCGCGACCAGCAGGTTGCGAGCACAATCAGCGCCTCGAGCGCAAATTGACCACGCATACACGGGCCGGATGGACAATGGAGAATTGAGTTGCAGCGTTGGGGGCCAGGCACGCTTTTCTTCTTTGTCAAAGACAAGAGAGTAGCATGTACTCGTGCCTAACACAGAGCGGACGTCGCAAGTTGCGGTGATAGCTGTTAGATCCAACGAGCCAGCGAAACGAACAGATCCAGCCGAGGGAAAGACAATCAGCGCTGCCGGCACCAGTTGCTCACCAGTGCAAAGACTGGATGAACCAGGCAGAATGAGCCTGGGCTATTGTGACCAAATTAAAACTTTGTTTCAGTCAAAGTAGAGGTGATCAAAACAGCTGCGGAAGGCCGATGAACGTCAATCAATGAACTCAGGCAGATGACTGAGAAGAACCAGCCATTGAAAGTGCGTTTCAACGAAATAATGAGCAAAATGTATATACAGTATAAATGACTTCTCGTTCTTTGATGACTGGTTTGGAACGCCTCCTATCCTTTGTTTTGATTCTCGGTAGACTAATTCGGCAGATAGTCGGTTAAAATATTAAGCATTTACACAATTTAAGACTTCGGTGATTTTCTAATTACTGGTGCCGCCGAGGCTGAGCGCACTGATCTACGTGACCGACATAGTACTGAGCATGAACCGTTTTGCTTAGTAAGCAAGGCATTGTCTGTAACTATTACCTGTGCTATGCAACCTTGTACCTAGGATATTGTTTCCCGGTGCAGATTGTCCAGGCAGTTGGGAATCCCTTTGAAAAGAAGACATAAACGTCCTTGGAGCACCCGAAGTTGTCAATGTACCAGAATGGGGTACAGTTCCTGGATTCATTTGTACCAGTGGCGGTATATTTTGATTGTTTGGAGCAGAAAACAAAGCAGGATTCAACTGCTGTAGTCTCCGATGAGGTAAAGGACTTCGGACGGATGCCACAGGCATGGAGGACCGGTATAGGACTTGCCTTTGCCCGAGGCTCTGTCCCATTGTGAAAGATGGGGCTAAAAACGGTTGCGAAGACGTGGAACCATTTCTAACTGCTCCGTTTTGATCCACGTTATCTGGAGCAGAATTCCACTCAAATATTGATCCCAGCATAGCCCTCTTGGGAAGTTGGCCGGAGGTGCGCGTGTCGATGTTGGACTGAGTGACCCTCGCATCCGAATTGCTTGGTGCAGTACTCGTGCTGCTTGAAAGTCTACTCAATTGAAACGACTTTCGTAAAGAGTGCCCAAACTGTCTGGAATGCGACTTCTGAAAGTATGAATAAAAAACTTATCCATACAGAGCAAATGGTGTAGTGTTACGCATAAAAGTAGCTGTATTAGTTCTAATTACCGGGCACGAAGTGGGAGCATTTGGTCAATATCTACTAGTCATCCTGAAACCCTTTTTACATTTATAAAGCGCAGTTGCAAACCGAGTTTTGTGAACTGAATTTCGTAAAACTATCCACTAAGATCTCTTACTCTTGGTTATAATCCATGCCAACGCTTCCGCCGACTTTCGGGGACAGGTCACTTTAGAATAGACAGGATTCATACAATCTGTCAAAGGACACGATCCTGGCTATACTTTTGGAGTGACTTTGCTACTTCGCTACTTAAAGAAAACGGTACTTATTCGTAAAAAGCGACATGTGTCGCGACATTCGCTTGTTTATACTCCGAATACGAACATTCTGAATCTGAATTTTTCAGCCAAATGAGTAAGGTACCCCTTAACTCTTCACCAAGGAACAAAATGCTTGCATTTGTCAAGTTATGGTCAAATTTTGTAAAAACGGATTTACTCGTTGCGAGATTAGCGTGAGCGCTTCTCTGCCAGAAGCTTTCCAATTTATGGAATTATTGGTGGCTGAAAAGAAGCGAAGTATCCCTTATTATCTATTGCGGTGCATAATGAAATTTCATTATCCACTTTGTTACAAATAAGAAAATGTCCTTGTTTTACAAATATGCTTATTCCCTTGCTCTCCAGTGAAGGCGATATGCAGAAGCTTGTCATAACCTCCTCAAAACTGAATATTTCCTTTCAGTGTCACGTTGGATGGCACAGCCGTCATGTACACTGCGCAACCAGGCAAAATGTGTGCCGGATACTCTAGGAACTGATGACGAACAATGAATTCACAGTCCTGTCTAGCTGACCCAGACGGCAGCAGCTTGTTACTGTTTCCGCGCTGGCTTTGAACTGCCTTAATGTAGGCACTCCATTTCGGTGTGCTTTTGCTTCATGGAAAGTGTTTCGTGAGTAGTCTGTGTGGCCCATGGGACTAGGTGATGAAACTGTACTTTAGACCTCAAGTACGAAGAACCATCTCATCGGATGGATGCGCGCGAACGGTGCTTCCGCCACAAAGGTTGATGACTCAGTTAGTTATGGGCCTGTCGAAAGATGGGATACTAGGTTACTAAGATTCAGTTGGTCGTGCCAGCACTCCTACAGCTAACTACCGAAAAATGTGTGGCAGGAGGTATTCGTGACATCAACCGACACTACCGGTCACCGATGTGCCGTCTGCAGGATGATTTGAACGCATTTCTGGCAGTGGTACGCAGATTGTGGCTGCTTCAAATAAGCGGCTTTATTCGGGGCTAAATAACAATATTGTGGAGTTGTTAAAGTTTGGTGCTTTATGTCAGTATGTCGCGCGGTGACAAGTGCAACACGAGGCATAAACCAGCCTTCATGAAAGATCGGTGACCGGCCAGGGCTGTGATATCATGGCGCGAATGTACACTGCGCGTGCTCAAAGTTAACCCAAACATTTTCAATTGATCATAGTAAAGTTGTTTTTGTTGGGCCTCTGTAGTAACTTCACAACCACATACCTGTTAGGTATATCGTGTCAGCTACAAATAGATCGTCGCCTTCTCAGTTGTTCAGCTGGAGGGGACTGAGATCTGGCTAACTAACAACCACATTCCAATTCGCTGCTAAACGCACCTTAGATTGCTTATCAAAGTGCAATTTAGCCTTTATAATCCATGGAACCCGTATTGAAGGTAACTTCCAAGCGATTATGCAACGTGGGGTGACTGTTTGAAAATGAGAGTACAATCTCAGCGAAACTTTTCATCCGGCTTTGAGCCAGCTTTGACAAGAGTATCCACTTTGGATTATTGAAGAATTTCAGGTATCAAATTTACACATCGGTTAGCCTGGTGTAGTTAATCATGGACTATGGGTAAGGGTTGACTTCGTGATAAACCTTTGGTCATAAATATATTCAGAGTTTGGCATCCGCTATAACAGGCCTGCATTTATTCTCGGTTGTAATAGAGTCACTGCACAAATGACCAGAAAGTAACGACCACAAATGGAGTTAAATTCATATAACTCAAAATACCGGATTTATATATACGTTACTCACAGATGAGGAACAATACTCCTTGACATCGTGTGCGTTTGTGTGGTTGCTGGTCGTCACTCCAGTCCAGAAACAGTCTTGGCACATATTGTAATGCTGACACCTGGTGCATTTGTATCGCAGGCCGCTGATTGGTTCTCGCTTACATCCTTCGCATCGCACATTATGACGAACTGTAGAAATGGAAAGCGAATATTGAGTACCGTTAGTGTAGTAACCAAAGTTAAGCCAACTAAATTGCGTCAATTGCTGCTCACAGGTTTGTGAATTATTTGAAGCAGCAGGGAACGAAAGAGATAATGACTATAAAAGATAAGTATTCACAGTGCGCACAATAGCGATGAGCCGTGTATTTTTATGCTAAATGATAACTAATCGGCGCACAAAAATTTCTTTTCGACAGTTCTCACCAGGCGTGTACAATTGGGGTCCCAATAATCAAACGGACGCTACGCTATGTCTAGCCAATAGGTGGATGGACAACTTAAATGTGAAGGATAAAGTGTTGCTTTCTTTTGACGTGGTCTCCCTATTCACGAATGTTTCTTCGATAGAAATTGTGAATTATATCTTTGACCGTCTAAACGAAGACAATGCCTATATTAACTTTCCAGTGCAGAAGGTTCAAGAACTAATCCCACGTTGTACTTCCAACAAGCATTTATTATTAGATGGACTATACTATGGACAAATAGATGAAGCTGTTACGGGGTCACCTTTGGGACCGCTAATTGCTGGCCTTTTCCTTTCCAAAGTTTTAAGCGGTCCAATTCAACATCTCATCGCTTCTCTTGAATCGTACCACAGGTACATGGAAGATACCTTCATCGTTGTGAATCTAAAGCTGATTAAATTCATTCATTGGATCAGTACAATCAGACTCATCTCTCGATACATTTCGTCTGTAAGAGAGAGGGCAGTGGTAAAATGGCTTTCCTAGACGTGTTGCTGTGGAGACGAGATGATGACTGTCTTGAAAGAAGGGTGTTCCGGAAGAAAACCTGGGTTGGTCAGTACATGCACATCCATAGTTTCGTCCCTACGAGCAACAAAAGAAACCTAATACGTGCGGCAGAACTCAGTCCTTCAGGGACAAGCGTTTATTCGGCAAAGATAGCTCAGCGAAAATTACAGCATATTTAGCAAGCCAAACTCCTCGAAATAAATTGCAGGTTCAGGTCCAAAACTAACGACTCTTCTGAGTCATTCAACTTCATCCTTTGCTTCAGTTAAACAAACTGTGAAGCACTCACACGAATATCGGCCAATCCGAGTCCAGTAATCGAATCCGTCACGTCCGCTTCCCAATGGCCGTCTGGCTCGCTCGGTTGGTCCATCAGCTCACACTTATCTAATACCACCATCACAATGCGTAATCTGTATTATCGGGCCAAAATAAGCTGCAGTCCGGAGACGTAGGATGAGGAAAGGAATTTCATTCCGAGAACGCTAAAAACCAATGGCTATTCGGTTGCTTTTACCAAGAGGAATTCTGTCGTCCACGATCGCCATAATTGTATGATGAATATCAGAAAGAATGATGTATTTCGTTCAGTTTTTTATGGGAGTCATCCCCTTCGAGCCACTTTGCAGAAAGTTGTCGACCGCAGTGAATCAAATCTATCCGGCAACCCTAGTCTACATTCGTACTGAAACAGCCTCTCTCATTACGCATCGCCTCCAAGATTGGCTCCCGGTTGAGTCCAACTCATCTGTTGTATATCAATTCACATACACCTGTGGTGTTAAGTAAATTGGACATACGACCAGACGTCCATTTAAGATGAGTGATGAGCACTGCCACGCAACAAAGCAGCAAGGTACAGTAAATAATCTCCATCGTTCCATTTTGGAACGCCTATTTAACACCGGACATCAAATAAGAGCTAAGGACCTTGAAGTTTTCTACCTTGTCCCGAAGCGGCTTTCGCTGACAACGGCTGAAGCCATTGCAATCAGACAGCTACAGCTAGCACTGTGTAAGCAGAAGACTCTGGGGCAAACAATTATCTTGCTATGGGCTTAGTCAAGTCATGGGGCCTCAAGGCTATTGGTTCGTTGTAATTTTAAGGTAGCATGTATAATTTGAACGCCTGTACACTTTGCTTATCCGGAAGTCTACTACCTTGAACATCCTGGTCAGGAATAGCGTAATATTCATTTGATTATTTACGTCATAGTTGTAGGCGCCTAATGAGTATTGTCGGATAGAACTTTTATGTCAAGTGTCTTCTCTTTCAAATGCGCATAATCTACGGGTTAACTTAGAAACAATGGCTGATGCTACGTAACTGAACAGGAATGATGTTTCGAAGCACGTTTACACCTTTATGACTGCTTAGACCCACCGCATGCAAATTTGAATCTCTCTGTATGAAGAAGTTCGTTATCAGCTACTTTCCGTAGAACTCCCACAGCATCGACCAATTTACAAACGTTTGCATTCATTCAGGCCAGTAAAATATCTGAAACATAAACCGAATTGTGATTCCTCTTAGTCACTTAGAGTGAATGAAATATTTGCGCATGTTACTTACTGCTGTTTCATGTTTCTCGTCTGTGAGCTACCTCAGTTCTTGCTGATTGCTTACAGGATAGTGCGGATTCAAATTAATTCTTTCAAAATTTTTGTGTTGGAATCACATAAGTATGCCAGTTGTCCCCTTCCTTCATACTACCGTACGGGAGGTGAAGCTGTGTCTTCCTCCAGATGAGAGTATAAAATCATATTTTATTGCACAAAAGGCCAACAATTCGCCGCTGATCTGTTAGCAAGCTCAGATGTTACTAAGAAAGAAGTAACCAAAGAATTGACCCGCCTCCTAGCAATGACGTCGTTTACGTCAACATAATCCGGTCATTTCCTGTTGATGAAAACCGCATCGAATGAACACTACCGAAAACTTGCTTGTTGCGGTCCAAATTCTACCCTTTCTGAGTGCATAAATGACAGTTGCTAAAGGAACAGCATTTCTGAGCAATAAATTAAGTGACCTAACATGTTCACGAACGATTGTTGAATGCTTCTGCGATGCTGTAGTGATAAAATATCGTCCAGATCCCTGAGCGAGACCTGTGTTCTATCAGGAACAGAACACCCTTGATAACTGTAAAATCTTTGTTCCTAAGATGTCTACCGACAAGTGCAATCACGACAATGCACCAGTTTTTATATTACAGCTAGCTTGTCCTTCAATTCATCTACGTCTTCTCGGACAAGCCACGCAACGTCACCAACAAAACACGTTCCCTGATGGTTCACTACCATGGACATACTGTTTCACAGTTTAAACACAAGGGACAACTACAGCCTAAGAGACGAGCTAGTTCTACCAGTTAAAACTTACTGTTTTCCACGGATGCCAATCGATGAAAAATTGTCAACCAGACCAGCATCTGTGAACCAGGGTCCGCAGACATACGTTCGAGAAACTCTTCAAGCAGGATGTTTTTGGATCGCTTTGGTGGAAAGTATACGAGAGTGAAGGTAGATGAAGGTAACATTATCAGTGGTACCTGCCTCACTCTTTTCATTACAACGACAGTTATTCATAGCTAAATAACAAAGCGTCCAATGTACTAACAATACTACCGCATCAGTAACCTAAGTTGTACTCTGTAGATGATCAATGATTACAATACTCAGAACTAGTAAAATGTTACGTAGCCGGCACCCGAAGATGTAGTATTCATTGGAACAGCTCTCAGCTGAGCTATTTGTAATCCTCAGTTTGTGCTCCAAAAACCAGCTACCCTAAACATGCAAAGTATTTCGTGGGGATTGCGCTTGGAATGAATTATGAACCAGAAGACGGGCTGTTTCCTCTGGGTTCCTCGTCAGGCGAGTGGTTGACTACGAACATGCCCGGCCAAGCATAGAAGAAAATTTTGATTGCAGTATGGAAAGGAACATCATCCCCCGGTTGGATGATACACATTTTTACCTTGTCTGACCTACCAGGGCGAGACTATTAATTGTTGGTGTGTAAGACTGAATCTTACAATGAGGTGGTCTATGAAATGAAAGTAACATACAGTGTGTGTGTGCGTGTATGACAACTTTTATTACTTGTTATCAAACATTTTTATAACTTCCACCTCCTTCAATACTTAGATGGGTGTTGTAAAGTCACTTTTGTGTTTATTGGTCTGTATGTGCGTGTCGGAGCGTCGAACGCACAAGAGTAAGAGGAAAGTAGCTTTGATGAACACTGGGATTCCTCTTTTGCTGAATCACTTGTTAACACATTGTCGCGCGATGAGTGGTTGTGGAGGAGTTCCGGTGGTTAGGTCCTTGACTGTACACGTGACCAAAAGCAGTCATACGTATTAGAACAATCATCAGTGAAATAGTCCCACTTGTTGAAAGTAAACGTTTGACAAAACACGATGATACAAGTATTCGCATATTAGTACTACGGACTACAGTTAATGACTGTGACAAATGTTTATTTCGGAAGGAATATAATACTCAATTTAGTGTGATAATTAGTGTTCGGAGATAGTTATCCTTCCATACCTGGGCTCCCAGCAGTTTTTGTGTATTCATGCTTTTCTTAACTCCTGGGTATTAGCAGGTGTGCAGCCCTCCGAGAGACAAAACAAGTCTGGGTGACAAGCAAAATATTTTGTTGGTATGATTGTATTCTTATTATTTATTATTATTATCAAATACCCATGACAGGTGACCAGCACGCGCCGTGCATTCACTGTGATCAGCTCAAGGAGCACCTACCCTATCCGGGGCAACCTTGAACTTGGTACATCCTAAAATCAGGCTACTCTGCTTTGTGCGTCGTGCTGGTGCAATCCGAGTTATCCCGCATAAGCGGCACTGGATTCGTTTTCCTTCCGACTACCTCGTGTCCTTTCCGCTTCAATAGTTGGCATGCCATCATTGCAGTCGGTGTCGTTAGCATAATTTTCCCAGCGTTCTAATGTTGCTTGCTCAATGTTGACTTGGCCAATCCGATTAACTTTTGTCTGTAACCAGGTTGCTCTTTTGTGTCTCGTTGACTCGTGTGAGTTCAGCCAATTCGCGTAGGTAAGTTTCGGTTAGCACTGCGACTATTTAATTCACTCGAACTATCACAATCACATCGGACTACAACATACGTTGTCCTAGAGCAAACGCATTGACAATTAGGACCTAGTATAATTTTCCAGTGGCCTTAAGATATGCACCAATCCTACTAAAGAGTAGTTGCGCATCTTGGGAAAGCGGCGGCACTGTGTATCTATTTGTAGTAAATGTTTTTTCGAGGAAACATCTGTCACACCGAAAACCATAATACGACGTCACTCTGTTCTACCGTGGGATTACAATTATTTGCACTACAGACGATAATAGGTGTAACGTGTAAGGTAACTATTTTCCCCGTTTTAAAAGTTGAGTATATTTTCATCTTATACCAACTGGCAAAGTGGCTCCTGCTGCAGTGTGCGCGCTGCATCACCAGCAAGGACATCTTGGCCTATTTATCTATCCAACGCCTAGTAAATGAAGCGATACAGTATACAACGGGGAGTTTATCCATCTTTACATTCCTCTTGAGTTTCTGATATCTAAAGCTATGATGAATCAAACGCAGGTACTGCTGAATTCCTAACGACTGCATTATGTTTCCAAACCTTAAGCAATCCACTCACACAAGAGTAATGAATTGTTTACGCTCTACGAAACCAATCTCAAAGTCATCAAAAAGTTTTATCATTATTGAATAATTTGTGCTGTTGGGCTATCAGGGGGATAGATAGAAACGACTAGCTGCCGTCATTTACCGAATTGCTTTATCCCAGTGCATTTAACATGTTAATTCTTCTTATGGACAAAGGTGTTCATTACATTTACCACTTTTCGTCCATCTCGAGTACAGGCTATTACATGTCTACACAATACAAGCAGCATTATATCAAATGAGGTGCATCACTTACAAGGACCACTGATATCGGGGACACCTGACCGAGGCTACAGGAGCTGTAGCTTAGTAATATTATCCGATATTCCGTCTTTTAATCACGTTGTACAAACCATGTGAGTATCTCCCATTGGTAAGCAGCGACAGTTTAAGAAATTCGGTCGATTAAAGCGTAGTTTTGTTTGGTCCGTGCAGCAGCTGTCGTTTGTATGACAAGATCGTATATTCTCTTCAATCCCGCTAGCCAAAGCCTGAAAACAACTACTCATCAAACAAACGGCAAAGAAATGCTCACCAAACACTCAAACGGCTTACTTGAAATCTTTCAAACGGCACAAACTTATTGAAGTTGAGAAGCCAATAACCGGGAGTAATAAAGCCTTACTTGATCCTACTAGATCATAAGTATGTAATTATCCTTTACAAATGCATTGATTTGGCTGTAGCACACCTCTAAGGAAATACAGCATCCTCTAGTTGGTACAAAACCCACCCTCGGAATTCGCTAACCAGTGATGCATTTGTTTTCCCATCAAAATAAAGTGATTTAATTTAACCTGAATAGGAGATTTTTTGAGGAGTGGTCTCTCATAAACAAGATGAATGTGGACAAACTGTTCGGAAAGGGAACATATGGCTAAACACCATCGAGGTGACTACTTAAACACCGGTTGTGGTACATTAATTAGAACCGCAGCACACACAGTCATGTCACCACTCGTAAAACGTAATGGACGGTTGTCAACATTGTGGGTATACTTACCCCACTCAGCAAGGCCTTTGAAGCTTGAGGTGTGAAGTAGAAGTTGGTACCTTCAAATATGCTAATGGGCAACCTGAGTAAATCCTGCAGGTACGCTTCAAATTTCATTGGAATCAACGCCCCAGATGGGTCGGACAGCAGTGTGAAATGATCTGATTGGGAATAGGGGTGCAACCAGTTTAATGCTGTTATGCTTCATGCTAACTCAAACAGTGGTTGCAGGCGGCAACAATGGTCATGGTTTTATAGTAATGAGAAGCCTTACTGTAGCTATTTACAAAGTTTTACAGTGGGGTGGACCACGTATTTCAGTTACTGAGATAGCGTGTTAAAAACTATTTTCTGGACAGCAGCAGATGGTACCGCTGTGAATGAAAAGGTTTGCATATGTATGCCACCATTGCGGTGGAGGAGAATCGGTAAAATGTAAGTTGCTTCGAATTTCTGCAATCGGTTGATGTTTGTTTAAATGCATGTTTACTTACGTTTTTTTGTTGGTGAAGTAAAGTGTTCTACATAAAAGTTGAGTGTTAGCTGTTTAACGTTTGGCTACAGTTGAAAAAATAGTGGATCTTAGGTTCGTTTTTACTTGAGTGGCTCATTTCCAGTGAAATCTGGTGACATTCCTTCAGTTGTAAATACTAGGAATCTCAGTAAATGAACTGGACTCCTCATGGGCAACAAACCATGGGACAGATTACGTACAAATTGGCTAAAACAACCAGCAATTATATTGCATGTTGGTGCTAATCTGGTAGTTTTTGGGACTCCACATTCGACTTTTTGAGGTTGTGCTTATCCGTAAAATGAATGACACCTCCATAGTTCCTCGAGATGTTCTGCGGTTCCTGAATCAAGCGGTTGCAGAATAGGAGAATAACTTGTATATGAATTTGAAATCATCAAGTTTTCGGTGTGGCTCTTTTGCATCCCTGCATTACAAAGCCAGAAAATCAACTCTTAATGTTTAGAAACTTTTCTTTTGTACATAACGAACTGGAGTGTTCTTTCCTTTCTGTGATGTAGGTAAGACTTTAAAGGTATCCACGTTTAACGGAAAATAGATGGCTAAGTTCAACTGTGACAGGTTCCCAATATCTTGGAACATATTTGTAACCGATCGGGAAGTCATCATTTCAGAAAACTTGGCAACGACCGGTTAATATATTTATGGTGATGTAACAACCGAACAAATGATAAACTTTTTAATCGCTACTGTGGTCAAGCTCTCGTGCAAGCAGTGTCCTAACGTTCAGTTGTGCCTTAATACTGTTCTACGTAATCGTACCTGACAAGAAGCAAAACACTAACCCCATCACTGCTACTTGGTTGTCACGTCGACGATATCATTTGTAAAATTACAAGTTTGGTTGTATCGACATTATCATTCGCTGGTTTTGGATGGTTTAAGGAGTCGACTAACATCTAACCAAGGGAACTTTATAGCAACTACGTACATTTCACGCAATGAGATAAAGCTTATAACCAACTTCACTTCGATCAGTGTCAAAAATATTTGATGTTGCATTGCAGAATTACAACAGGCGTACGCAATAGGAAGTTGTCCCTAACTCTTAAACCAAAGCATCAGTCTTTACCCCGATTTTCCTGCTTGTCATCTGTTTGCAAAGAGGCATATTATTATTCTTCGTGTTACAAGCTAACCGCGTGATTTTACAGCCCGGAGAAGCGTAGTTCTCCCCATTTCGCAGTCTCACCACACGGTAATAATCACAGCTGTATGCACTTAATTCTTCCCTTTTACAACCAGACAGCCACAGCATGCGTCGTTCTTTTTATCGAATGGGTTGGACATCTTGGAGCTTCGTGCCTGTAATTCAACCTCTTGAATATTCGGTCCTCGACCGTTTTTACGTGACCGACTGGAGTTATCGTGGCTTAATTGCACTCAATTTTGTTATGCTTAGGTTATATAGACTTCATGCTGCGAATTCGCGACGCCGCATCGATCGACTAGCCGCTAAGTATATGATAGGATCTTAATGTATCCACTATTGCATCGTTTGGGTTTGTTTGCCTTTTGTAGTATATTATGCGGAGTACCAGTAAAACTTCGGGACGTCATTTCTCTTAGATGACTAATTGCGCAGTATTACTTGTTATGAGGCTCCTTCGGTCAATAGAGCTATTCGTGACGTTTCGAACGTTAGTAGCATTGTACTCTCATTCGCGCTGTGGGATCCTTGTTGGCTTGTTAACGGGACCATGAATGTAAACTGTGCTTCGGGCAGAAATACGTACAACACCGTCCGTACAACTGAGCGACGGAACTAGTGTAGAAAGAGTATCTCGTTAAAAAGCTAATTGAATCATGCCTTACATCTGGTGGCTAAGCTGAAGATTACGAAGGGGCCTCTCAAAGAATTTAAAAAATTCCCATGAAGTATATTGCACTGAAGAGATTTTACAGTCAATACACCATCTTACAGCTGATCACGAAGGTTTCAATAAGTTAATAAAAATCGACCCTGATTTATCGAATGCACCAATAGCCGCATATAAAACACAGTTGCAGGATGTGATGCCAAGCAATAAGCGAGAACAAACTACCACATGGCGGAGGCAGTTGAGCTGGGGATTATTTCGTAGTCATTAGACCAATATTAAAAGGACAATTTGCGACTTGGGCGTGCGATATTCAGTCACGTTTAACTTTTCTGAACACTGTGACTTCCAAGTTGCGAAAGCCATGAAGACCATCGGTTATATCTGCCATCATTTTTACCTCACGGAATCTCGCACATTGCTTTACAAAATATATGTATTGCCGTGTATGAAATACTGTTCAATGGTACAGTCTAATCTACGGAAAGCTGACCAGCACGCTCTTGTAAGGGTCCAGAGATGTTTCACTAAAAAGCGATGTGGATATTCCTCAAAGTTGACATACAGGGGGTGATGTGATAAACTTGGATTTGACCCAGTTTGGCTTCGGATAATGAAGATAAACTTATGTTTTCTCTACCGACACATAAATTGTTGAATTCGCAGTCTTGAAAACGGGGCTCACATATCTGTAAACAGCCGATACCCAATATGTAACAAAGAGGTAAAGGTCATGATTCCAAAATTTACTACGAGAATCAGAGAACCTTTCTTTCTAACCCAATACTCAAAGATTTGGAACAAATTTCCAAATGATATCAGAACATGCTATACACTTTGCAATTTTAAGCTTGCTATTAGTAAGCATTTACCTGTCCAAAACGTGATTAAGATGTTCGGGACATCACAGTCCCTAGATAACGCATTCGAAAACGATATCCATGGTGTCTGAATAACTTTCCGAAACACATACACATAACATTTCGGACAACAGCCCCTTTCATTACATTTTTTCTCTCGGCCGAAATATCTGTCATGTGATTGTGAAGAATCCTGATTCAGTGGCAGGAAAAATAGCAGAACGATTCTGATTACTCTGTGTGTCAGTGGCTTCTCATTTGTTTCAAAGTTGCCTTCCAAATCCTTCCTGGACGAGAGATCCTAGCCCCAATCTGTATCCATACGTCCTGAACACTAATTGCCTGGGTTGTCCCTTCTACTTCGTAAACATTCGCTCGCTTTTTTACCTGGCCTGATTAATGTTCACACCTTAAGGTACACTCAACCCTCTGATTTGACCCGGTGAACGACTACTTGATTCAAACGAACAACGATAGACGAGCCAGTCGATAGCAATTGTTCTACTTTTCAGGCTTGTATTCCTATTCTAGTTAATGAAATTTATTACCAAAAATTGTCTAATTCACTACCCACTCACTAATGATTGTTCACTGATGGCTAATCAATAGTGAATAGGTGATTATTTACATGTCTTGATACGGATGATATTGCTATTAATTTTGTTTGCTGACTGATTGATGACCCAATTCTACTACGTGCATTTATCCCCTGTAAAATTCAATCTTACCGCATTTGCGGGTAATTACCCCAGGTTGAGAACCTTTGGCATATGCCGGTGAACCCATCTCAGCCGCTGGTTCATTCCATGTGGTTACATCTTGTTTTCTAGTATTCGTTGTCATTCTCAACTGTTCTTTAACTTCATTCTAATTCCAACAACCTAACAGGATGATGTGCTCCAAATAGGATGCGATTAACTTTTAAGCCACGCTTTCTTTTCCACTGTCAACACTCAAACATTCTCCGCGCTTAGTCACACATACCATACCAATCAGCGTAGTTCTTTCATGCATTAGGTTCCCCGTGCGCGAATTATGGCCAAACTAAATCTTTAGGGTTTGTCAACAGGAATACATCATGGTTACTTATAAGCCGACTGTAGGAAGGGGAGAAATAAACTTCAGAATGATCATCAAGTTAGTTAGACAAAATATAATGTGTAGCTATCTCGACCGGTCTCAAAAGTGGAACACCGGTGACAGCGCCTTTCTTCAACGGCGCCAAACCAGGCTATGATTTCTATCCATCTGATAATTATTGGGTATAATAGAGACAATGAAATGCAAAACGCAGGCGCATCACGAGCTCAGTAACATTTGTCTAGAAGGTTGTGTGCCATACCCTCTAATCAAGGGAAGCGCAGATCATTTCTAAATCCTCTATTTCACTTGGTTATTAGTTAGGAAGCCTACATAACTCGCATTCTATTCCTGCTGAATTATTAACTTGATTAATTGGTGGAAAGTCGAACCTAGATAAACGGTTGGAAATGTGCTTGTTTGATCAGACAGTCATCTTCAAACATTCCATTCCCTCGGGGCGCATAAATGTTTGTCTGATAACCATTATCTCCGACCCGCAACAATGGGAAAAAGCGGATGTTTCAAATATGACGAATTACAAGCAGCTGATCGAGTAGTAGTATTTGAAATGGCTGTGAAATAAACTCGTTTACTTCACTGTTAAGCCTGAAACCATTTGTTCTCAGTGAAATATGGATGGGAAAGCTTTCTATGGCCTAGCAAAGCACTCATTCATTAACTTGCTTCCCTACGCATGAGGCATCCGTAGAACGCTGCAGTAAGCTAAAGAAGCTCACGTGGCTAATTTGACTAAATTAAAAGAGAACGGACCACCCACAATGCCAGAGGAACCGTGGTCACTGCAAGGAACGAATTAAGCGCCATGGCCAATGACGAGGTAAAGGTGAATGACTGGACAACGT